GAAGTTTATGTGTAAAATGTTGGTCTCACGGGTCTCACGAAAACAGGCTGGTCTCACGTGAACCCAACCCTATATATATATATATATATATATAGATGGAGGTTCAAACGAGAACATCTTTATTTTACGAGACGTAAGAACACCCTTATCACATATGATAATACGCGTGAGGGGACCCTGTAATGTGCGGACGACGTGTTCTACGACTTATGTCGCGTCAAAAGTTGTTTGCGTCTATAATTTAGCATTACATGTGATGGTCTTGATAGATTATAGTATCATATCAACAACATCCTTATCACATGTGATAATATTTGTGAGGAGCTTAGTAGTGCATGCAATATCCTTTTCACATATGATAATACTTGTGAGGGACTTAGTGGTGTACAAGCGATTTGACCCGCAACAAAGATCGCATCAGAAATCGTTCACGTATATGATTTAGTACCAATCATCATAAAAAGATGCCACGTTTTTGACCAATTCAATATTATCAATTTTTTGTAAGCAGTAAATACAAATTGTTGTAGAGACTCCAAGGGGGTAATACTCAAACAAATAAAAGAAAACATATTATGTTCTGCCGTTCCAAGATTCTTGTAGTGTATATATATATATGTTAGGTTATATAAGCCCTAACATGTGGCGATACAATACGAGATATATATATATATTACACAAACACACACACACACATGTGTGTGTGTGTATATATATATATATATATATATATATATATAAGCTGGCCAGTTCTACTAAAACCATAACAAACCTCTTGAAGAAGTGTAACAGATGCTAAAAATGGCTATCACCCCACTTGTAACTTTGATCCTACTCTCTACAATCTCTCTTGGCATTGCTGAAAGAAGTGATAGTAGATTGAAAACTTACATTGTCCATGTAAAGAAACCAGAAGCTTCCCTCTCCACTCTGAGTGAAGACCAGAACCAGAAGGCTTACCATCGATCATTTCTTCCCTTTCATCTTGCATCCTTAGAGAAAGACGAACCTTTACTTTACTCGTACCAGAATGTGCTCAGTGGTTTTGCAGCAAGACTCACTGAACTCGATATTCAAGCCATGAGAAACAAAGATGGGTTTATATCAGCTCGTCAAGAAAGGATGTTTAAGCTTCACACGACTCACACGCCCACTTTCTTGGGGTTGCATCAAGAATCTGGTTTTTGGAAGCAATCGAGCTTTGGGAAGGGTATGATCATTGGAGTACTCGATAGCGGGATTGTACCGAATCATGCTTCATTTAGCGACTACGGAATGCCACCTCCACCTTCTAAATGGAAAGGGATGTGTGAGTTCAATGCATCAAGCTGCAACAACAAACTAATTGGGGCGAGATCATTTAACATTGCTGCAATGGCTTCAAATTCAAGCATGAAAGTAGAGCCGCCGCTAGATGAAGATGGACATGGGACCCATACTGCAAGCACAGCTGCTGGCGGTTTTGTGAAGAATGCAGAAGCGCTCGGTGGTGCACCAGGGACAGCGGTCGGGATGGCACCTCTTGCTCATCTGGCAGTTTATAAAGTATGTTTTGGTCCCGATTGCCCGGAAAGCGACATACTAGCCGGGCTTGATGCTGCTGTAGCTGATGGAGTTGATGTGATATCAATTTCTCTTGGAGAAGATGAAAACGTGCCGTTTTTTCAGGACAATATCGCGATAGGGTCCTTCGCTGCGGTTCAGAAAGGAATCTTTGTGAGTTGTGCAACGGGGAATTCGGGTCCGATCAATGGCACAGCAACGAATGTGGCCCCTTGGGTTCTAACAGTTGGAGCAAGCACCATTGACAGAAAAATCAAAGTCGTAGCAAAACTGGGAAACCAGATGGAATTTGATGGTGAATCTTTATTTCAGCCAAAAGACTTCCCTTCTACACTAACACCACTGGTTTACGCTGGTGCTAATGACAAACCAGATTCCAAGTTATGTGTCAACGGATCGCTTGAAGGCATTGATGTCAAAGGAAAGATAGTATTATGCGAGAGAGGTTTGACGGCAAGAACAGAGAAAGGAGAAGTGGTGAAAGCCGCAGGTGGTGCAGCCATGATCTTGATGAACCAAGCAGCACAAGGGTTTAGCCTAGACCCCGATGCACATGTTCTCCCTGCATCACATGTGAGTTATGCTGCTGGACTGCAGATCAAAGCATACATCAACTCAACGCGAACACCGATGGCAGCGTTACTGTTCAAAGGAACAGTAATTGGAGATCCTTTAGCTCCATCCGTTGCTGCATTTTCTTCCCGTGGCCCGAATACTGTGAGCCCGGGAATCCTAAAACCAGACATTATCGGCCCTGGAGTTGGCATTCTAGCAGCATGGGCTATCCCACTGGCTGGAAGCACCAACACAAAATCTCCAATATTTAACCTGATGTCTGGAACTTCCATGTCATGCCCACATCTTAGCGGCGTTGCTGCGTTGCTCAAAGCAACTCATCCTTATTGGTCACCAGCAGCTATAAAGTCTGCTATAATGACTTCTGCAGACCTAAAAAATCTGAAAGGTACACCACTAGTAGATGAAACACTCCAACCAGCAGACGTATTTGCTACTGGTGCTGGTCATGTTAACCCATCAAAGGCCAATGATCCGGGGTTGATCTATGATATCCAGCCAGATGATTATATACCTTACTTGTGTGGCTTAGGCTATAGTGACAACGAGGTTGGGATCATTGCACATCGACCGGTAAAGTGTTGGACAACTTCTAGCATACTAGAAGGCCAACTAAATTACCCTTCGTTTGCTGTTAAACTTGGACCATCTCAGACATTTACAAGGACAGTGACGAACGTTGGAGAGCCATATACATCGTATGTTGTCACAGTTGTTGCACCAAAAGGAGTAACGGTGAGTGTCCATCCCAACAAGCTTAATTTCACGCAAAGGAACCAGAAGGCAACGTACTCGGTGACATTCAACCGCACGAAAGAGGAAACAGGTGAATTTGGTCAAGGTTATATAGCATGGGTCTCTGCTAAACACATGGTTCGAAGTGTTATCTCTGTGAACTTCATCTAAAACCAGTTGTGCACTAATATGAGGAGTTGTGTCCTCACATGTCGTCTTGTGTTTTGCTTTTGTTTTGTAAGCTAGAAGCTTTCCACGGGCTTCCTATTTTTTGAACCATGTATGACGAGATATACTCGGTTCGTTTGGTTTGTTATCGAGTACCTGCATTTGGATATATAAATTAGATCCAATACTTATTTTGGATGAATATGAGGTATTACTAAAGATCAAAATCTTCAAGAGAAAAAATACAATCGGCGGTTTTTCTAGTTTAGAGATTTAGGTGGCGTTTGGTTCCATGGAATCTGATTGAATTGCAATGTCATTCTATTGAACAAATTCCATTCGCGTGTGTGGTCCATTCTCTAAGTTTTAGTTTGGAATTCCAGTTCCACATAAGATGGAATTTAATAAGTTTCTAGGGTTTTAGTAAGGAACTGCGAATTTTATTTCGTCAAATCTTTTAAGAAAGACTATTATGTGTTTATATTTACTTTAATCCATTGCATCCCACTATGACGATCACCGCCGCCACCACCATCATTGCCGACATATCATCGTCACAACACACACCGCCACCATCTCCTCATTTCAAGAAAAAAATGGGTTTATTGGACGGCACCAACTTTTAAGCGTCCTAATAGAATAATGCTTTATAAGATCAAAAAATAAAGTGTCATATCTAAAAACGTTGTAATAAGTTTAGAAGACGCGTTTGTGCGTCTAAACAAGTTTTTTAGAACACTTACAATACAAAACGTCACATTAGCTATTTTATTGGACACCTTTGAGAAAATGTCTTATAAACCCAATATTTTTTATAAGATGCTTGATTTTATGAGAAACATTTCCAAATAGTGTCTTATAAAATTGTAATACGACACCTTTGTATAAAAATGACCTAAAGTTCTTACGACACCCAAAATCATCATATAAACTTTATGACAACGCCTTTATAGATATAATATTTAATTGTTTGGTTCTATAAATTAAGTCTTAGAAATTTTTAGTGTCTTGTAAACCTAATTTTGTTGTAATGCCCCCACTGCCATCGTTGTACCAGCATCACCGTCGCCACCACCACAACCATCGTCACTAACACCACCACCCATCATCATATCTGCCGCTGCCACACCACTGCTGCCACCATTAACTAATATTATTGTTAATAATTTTTAACAGTAATTTTCAAAATCAATAGCAATTCCTTTGTATGAATCACAATTCACTTGTTTAGATGAGTTGTAAATTGTTTACTATTTTATAGATTTTTCTTGCTTAATTAATAATAGATGGTAATTACAAGAAACCTTAGACATTGACATTTACATTGACATTGACATTGTTGTTGGGAATGAATGGAGGTTTCTGTCTTCAGGAATATGATTAACACAGGAATATCTTTACTGTAAATTAATGATTTGAGTTCGATTAAAACAATGCAATTAATCCTTCTTACTCGTTTGGAACAACATATGGTACACAAACAAGTCCAAAGAACATCAAAATCAAACTGTTTGTCGATTCGATTTGTTTTAGAACCTCTTTCTTCCATATATAATAAGAACCCAAATTAAGCCAACAAAACTCATAGGTGCATAAATGGAGAAGATTGTACACAGGATGGTGGATGTGAACGGCATTAACATGCACATAGCGGAGCTTGGCCATGGCCCAACGGTCCTCCTCATCCACGGCTTCCCGGAGCTCTGGTACAGTTGGCGCCATCAGATCCTCTACCTTGCCGCCCATGGCTACCATGCAGTAGCACCAGATCTCCGTGGCTATGGAGACACCACCGGACCTCCACTTGATGATGTCACCAAGTTCACCACCTTCCAAGTCGTTGGTGACTTGGTGTCACTCATCGATCAAGTGGCCAGTCTGGATGAAAAGGTGTTGGTGGTGGGCCATGACTGGGGTGCGATTATTGCATGGTGTTTGTGCCTTTACAGGCCTGATAAAGTGAAGGCATTGGTGAATATGAGTGTTGCTTATATTCCAAGAAACCCAAAATTTAAACCAGTTGATGGAATACGTGCTATTTACGGCAATGATCACTACATTTCGAGATTTCAGGTTAAGAGATTCACATATTTTTCTTTTTCGCGAAAACACCTCTACTTTTTGAGGTAGAAGCCACATAACAATCCCAATAGTTTAGGATGCATTTGGTAAGCAGACACAACTGGATAGAACAGGAAGGCATCGACTGAGATTGGACGGCCGAGAGTAACATAGGCGAGTGAAAAACTTGGGAAAAGTTTCAGTGTTTTAATTTGAGATCTATGGATAGTTTAGTAATTTATAATTTTCTCCCATCTGTTCCTCCACGGTGGGAAGAAAAAATGTATTTTTTTTCAACTCAATCTTGTGTCCAGCTTAATGTCGCGACAAACATGGAATGAGTTTTTGGATTGTTTTATCCGGTCCTGTCCACAAACGCCTATGAGATTCGAACTTATAAGACCTATATCTTAATAACAAAATACACTAATATGAAAATCTATAAACTATTTTTCAGGAGCCTGGAGTAATCGAAGATGAATTTGCGGAATTGGGCATTGAAAGGGCTCTAAAAAAGTTCTTAGCTTATCGCAACCCCACCCCGCCAGTTCTACCCAAGAATCTAAGTTTAGAAGACTCACCCGATAATCCGATACTCTTGCCTTCATGGTTGTCTGAAGGCGACATTGCTTACTATACAAGCAAATACGAGAAAACTGGATTTACGGGTGGTCTAAATTATTATCGAGCCATGAACTTGTAAGTTGAGATATTACATCTGAATTCTTTACCCTCGATGAGAAATTATTCATTGAAGTATTGTTTGTAATTGGTAGGAACTGGGAGTTGAGTGCGCCATGGACCGGAGCCCAAGTGAAAGTACCGGCTAAGTTCATAGTGGGTGAGATCGACTTGACTTACAACACCATGGGAATTCAAGATTATATACACAAAGGTGGGTTCAAAAAAGAAGTACCGCTCTTAGAAGATGTGATCATAATGGAAGGCGTGGGGCATTTTCTGCACGAAGAGAAACCCGATGAGATCAATCAACATATCGACCGATTCTTCAAACAATTCTGTGATGATGAATTAAATTAGTGTGTATGTTTGGGGGTGTAACTGTTATGCCTTCAGATTTATCGGTGTAATTTGGAACGATGGTACAATAAGATTATTATAGTTGTTTCAAAGTTAAATTTTGAAATGAACACTTATGCAAAGATAAAGACAGCCAGTGGTATGGCTTTCGAATCCAATTTGCCTTGGTTCATAAAGCTGTTTTTGGTAGCGTTTTTGAACCATTGGTGGATGCCTGTTATTTCAAAATGGAATTTTCTTGACCCATAATTAGATTACAACATTTTTTGCATTAATTCTTTTTTCGGTCAATAGCAATTAGATTGAAATGTTAATTACGTTAGTGTTAGCTGGAAAATTCCTAGACAGATGACCTAACTTGCCACACTGATAACACTTTCTCTGTTCTGGCTTACAGTCACCTTGATGAACTTGGTGACATCGGGGACAGGTTCTATCAACGCTCTTTGAACAGATCGGTAATCTATTTTTATAGAATTTAGCCCTCGATAACCGGTCGAAGGCCCTTCCCATCTTCTCTTTTCTACTACTTTCTCTTCTCCCTGCCTATTTTTATTCCTCTTAGTAGTTTCAGCAGCATCTACTGCTAAAGGAAAAGTGGCAGGACTCACTGCAATCACAAATTCCCGAATGGAGGGTTTTAAACCTTAGATATACCTCTCCACTTTTCTTGATTCAGAAGAGATATAGTGTCCGCAAACCGGGAATGTTCAATAAACTTTTCAGTGTATTCCCGTACTGATCTGTTGCCTTGTTCCAGTTTTAGAAAATCCTCTTTCATTTGACTTACAGCTGGCTTTGGACAAAATTGTTCTTTAAATCTATTTGCAAATTCTGACCAAGGCATGCATGGTTCGTAGAATATTGGATTTAGCCAATGATTCTACATCCCACCAGTATAAAGCGTTAGATTTCAACATAGAAACAACAAATCTAACCTTGTCTTCCTCTGAGCATTTACTGGTATTAAATATAGATTCAATTTCCTTCAACCAACACATAGCTTTCACCGGATCCCTTTCCCCAGAAAACATTGGGGGTTTGCAAGTCAAAAACATCTTTATGTTGTCTCCTTTACTACTCGTAGCTGGGACTTGAGGATTTACCTCAACTCGTTCTGTTTCAACTCTGGCCGGTAATCCCATAATAGATGTCAGAGTCTTTCTTAACTTGTTCATTTCTTCCACTAGAACATCCCGTGTCATGTACTCTGGCTATGACACCTGTTCTTGATTGACATTCCCAGAAATAGACTCAACTTGATCTGGATGAATCTCAGACTAACTCTGTTTGCCTCTTACTTGACTTCTTCCATGAGTTCTACCCCTACTTCTTCCCCTGCCTCAACCTTCAGAAGCACTTGTCAGAGCATTTTTAGGAGAATTCTCTTTATCGTCTGGGTTAGGGCGGGTGATCCTTTTAGATCTTCTAGAACGACTAGCCATCTACAGATTTTCAATATTAATAATCACGTATTCACGTTCCCAAATATAATAAGGTGTCTAAGGATAGATATGTACCTGTAAATTCATAATTACATTGGTCAGTTGTAATTCGAATTTACCTTACATACTGTCATCTTAACCTATCATATTTATTCCCAATGGTGCTATCTATGTTTGCGACCCCTTAATATGCAAATAACATAGTTTAAGTTTGACATTATGCTTTGAATACCTAAATCTCTTAAACTCAGACTCTGATACCACCTCTATAACATCCCACTTTTCACATTGCATATAAATAATTACTTCATATATTCAGAAATACAATTATACTTTGGTCCTATTAGTACAAAAAATTTTAATACAAAATTTACAACTCAAAAATTCCAAAACAATATTCTTGTACATCACATGTATGAACAACATGTATTCTCAAAATCCATCAAGTAATAGACTGATCTTCAAAATAGCAGTTAAGCACATAAGGAAAATAATCACATTTTCCCCTTCCCCTTATCCCTGGACCCTGCCGGACCTACAATGCATAGTTTTAAAACAGAAAATGAGGGTTAGACCATGAGGTGTAGTGAGAAAACCCTTCTTTGCAATTACAGGGTGAAAATCACCAAAACCTGTTATAAAACTCACATTTAAATACCTAATTGCTTTGATGTAATATAGCTTCAGTAAAACAACAACTGCAAGTTATAAATTTTTCCTACCATAAAGGATAATATACTACTCAGATTCTCACCGATGTCTTGAACACAACTCTCAAAGCTATCAAGTTTCATCAGACTAGAGCTTACAGATTCTACCTCCAAGATCATATAAAAGAATATCAATCACCAGAGTTCTTGGTTATTATCAAAAGCTTTTAAGATACAAATAGTGTTAAACTCAAATGAGAACTGAATTGAGTAACCATCAAAGGCCCTCTAGGTTTTATTTCAAATCATTATTATTTTGAATAACCAAAATAGAATATCTGATATCACAAAATCATTTGAAACACAAGAAATTAATGCCTCCTGCTATAAGCCATTTTCCCCTTCTCAATAACATCGTTGTTATCATTTCAATAAGAGCAATATTTCCAAGTCTTCATATTACAAAGAAATTTTGACTCAAAATTATCGCATCTTACAGATGTGATAACAAGAGCTATAGTAGTAACCACACACACAAATGCCACCCTTATCCAAATGTACACATCTTCTTGATATGTCACCCTTATCCCATGGTACACCTCTCCTTGATATGCCACCCTTATTTTCTCATCAAATCTATAGATAAATCTGTAGTTTTAGCCAATAATGGCCTCAAAATAGTTTCATATCAGAAACTTTAATCTCAAGAACTCTCAAGTTCTTAAATCCTTTTTTCGATCTCATCTTAATATTTCTTTTAGAAACAGTTTTCTCATCTCAACAGTTTTGAAAGAAACATCAGTACATTTCCTCAATTTAAATTAACAGTTGAAAGATACAGGTTACCCCTTCTCAGCTCAAAACAGTTTTGAAACTGTTAAACAATATTGAAAACAATAATTTTCATCGGACAAGCCCTAGGCGATAACTGCCCCTCATCGGTCAACACTATAGTTGATAACCTCTTCATCGGACAACACTTAAACATGCTTCACCGGTCACACTATGTCCGGTAACAACCTCACCAGTCAACACTGTGTCCGATAACAACCTCACCTGTCAACACTTACAATATAAATAACAAAGTCGGGCAATGCTTTGTCCGATGAGCATCCTCACCGGACAAGGCATTGGACGATAAACCCCAATTCGGTCAACATTATGTCTCAAACACTAAACCGTTAAACACATGGGCGATGAAATGCACAAACCGGACAACTCTTGTCCGATAAAGGCCTTCAACAGATAACACTTCATCCGGTAAAGTCCTCACCGGACAATGCATAATTAACATAATTCTCTTCACCGGTCAAGGCATCACCGGTAAGGGGATGTCATCGGACAACACAGTGTCCAATTACAGTCCCTCATCGAAACATGCAGTCTAACATAAGAACGTATATACAACATATACCAACAGATAAGAAATCATGAAAAACCAATATTTCGTAATCAAATTCAAAGATTGTTTTATAGAAACACTCACCTTTATGCAAGCAAAGGAGTTTAAAATGAAAAACAACAACATAAATTAGTTTCGCTGGATCACAATCCAACTTCTATTCTTGGCAAGGAAATTCACACAAACTCACTTCTTCTGTTTCCTTTCTAAAAATGGCAGAAAAGTCTCTCTTTAGAATTTCCCACCTTTTATACTTGACATATAAGGCGGTTTAGGGAAATTATAAAAATTATTTTCCCTCACAACCCCATGCACACACATGCACATAATTAACAACTCTTACACATACATGCATATATACCACTTACTTTTGCACGCATAATAACATATATACATACATATACAATGATGCATGCATATAAAATTATGTACACACTCACATCAATATTTTCATTCATGCATATACCCACATGATCAATTTTATCAATTAAAAACATACTCACGTAACCATATAATCACATAATAATTACCTTAGATGTATAACCAGATCCCAGTTATCACATCAAGTTTGCCTAAAAGGTGGTTATGGCAAGGTAGGTGCTACTAGGACTGAATACAAAACCTTTAAGAGGGATTTCAATAGCTTTGTTGGTAATAAAGATGGTCAAATGGTTATCAATCTCTTTAATGATCACAAAGTGCATGGGTCAAATCTTAAAGTGATTAAGAATCTCATTATAAATTGTAAATTAATTCAAGTACAAGTTATGATTAAGATTCACATGTGAACCAATATGCAACTAATTATCACCGCCTAAAAATGGATTGTTGGGATCTTTTGCGTTTGGTTACATTTCAAAAAACCAATGAAGAACATGAATCTTCATGTTAACATATGAGATTTAGGAAAATGACATTTAATTCGATTTGTAAAGTAAAATCGCCAACGATTCATGGTAAAAAATTAGATAAGAAATCTATAATTATCATTATTTAAAAAAAATAAAAAATTGGAGATGAATTAAGATATTTGTTTTTTTTTAAAAGTTCAGAAAAACTCAACAAACTTTTCCATTCTGAATGATTAAATCCTGAAACTTTTTTTGAATGAAAATCTATTGAACTTTCTTTTTTCAATGACCAAATCCATGAACTTTTTTTTGGAATAAATAAACTAGCAAACTTTTAAAAATTGGTTACTTACATCATTTTAACACAAAAAAAGCTTCTTCAAACCGGCTAATACGATCTTAAAGTAAAAAAAACCTAAATCAGTTTTACTACTCTCAAAACTCTATGTATTTCAAATCCCTCACCACTCCTCGCAGTGACGGATCCAGAAACTTTTATTATTGGGGGCACCTTTTAAGGATGCCAAAAAAATCTGAAACCGAATAACTCTTTCGAACCAATAAGATTTTGGGTTATTCAATTTTCGGCTTAAAGGTCCACTTTAATTGAATAAAAATAACTTATTCATTAGTATTAGAGCAAACAAAACAA